AAGTCCATTAGAAGCCTAAATCTATGGGACTTAGCCAGAAGTCCTAGATCTACTTCACTAGCCTAAATCTACTTTGCTAGCCAGAAGCCTAGTGAATCCCCCACATGAACTACACAGAGGGAGGCAGAACACTAAAACTGTGCAGGGGAAGAGAGGAGCGAGGGCTGCTGGGGAGACTGGGCCAGGGGAGAGCATGGTGCAGTGTGGCCCTGGCTGGCTCGCCTCCACTGGACTCTTCTACAGGTGCCCAACTCAGCCTGCTCCACTCCATCCCCTCAGTCTGTTTCTTTTCCTATTAACTATTTGCTATTGATGATACCATGGGCTACCCAGATGTCCCAGGCAAAAAACTGGGCATCGTCCTCAATTCCTCCTGCTCTATCTATCCCTGTCTACATTCAATCAGCGCTGTTCAATCCAGAGCTCTCTCAAGTCTATCTTATTGAAGACCCCACGAACACACTCCTTTTGTCTCCTTTGCTCAGCTGGGTCCAAATTCATTTTTCTCCTTGGTTACCGAAACACCGCCCACCTCTCAGTTGGCCTCCAAATCCAGAATTCCCTCCCTGTCCTCTACCTTGACACAATTCCCACTCTTCCTTTCAGGTCCTATGTCTAACATGCAAATCTAAACAGGTCATTTCTGCTGCTACATTCCTTCAATATCAGGATAAAAGCCCCAATCTTTTGCAAAGCCTAGCATCTGGCTTTTCCCTCTCTCAAGACTGTGTTCCCATGGGCCCTCAAGCCATCAGATGATGCACTTGGTCAAGCTGTCTCATAACCATGCTTTCAGGCATACTGTTCCCTCCGCACAGAATGCCCTTCCCTCACCTTATATATTTGGCTAATCTGTAATCCTGCTCCAAGCTGAGGCTCCAGGCCTCTCCCCCTCCAGGAACTTTCCTTGACTCCCCTCCACTTGAACCAGGGCCCTCCGTGCTGCCTCCCTCAATCCAGGGCGAGCCTCTGAGACAAAATATTTTCACAGCTGTGCACATGCATTGGGCCCCTCACGTTATAGCGAGTCCCTCGAGGCAGGAACCATCTCCTTCACCTCTGTCTCAACAATAACTATTCCAAAGCCTTTCTCAGCAAGTGCTCAAGAAAGGCAGCTGACTTGATGAGCACAAAAATGAAACCTGTTAACCAGCCTTTCTTCCTTGTCTCTGTTTCCATTGAACAGTCACATCACTCAGCAACAGCCCTGGACTTCGAAGTCTCTAGGTGCTGGGTTTACACAAAATTTCTAAAGATATGATGCTAATAGGAGGGGCACATGTGCTTCTTCCACTAATGAAATTCTATTCTCCATTTCTTTTTCTTGGAAGGGCGTGGTTTTTTTTTCCCCTTCTTGGCCACCTAAAGGCTTTGTGTGAGGGAAGGGTAAGGGAGCACGTTAGATTCATGTGATATAGAGGAAGAGAAGAACATAATTGAGTATTCAACCTAGAATCAAGAATCTTTCCCCTGAAATAAGTAAGTCACAACGAAGTTTTCACAAAGAATATGGAGAACTGAATTTAGAAACCACAATCAGCATATTCAGTCCAAACATGTATAACCAGTAGCCTCTGTGAGGCATGTTAAAGGGGAAACTTTCATATTCCCATTCAGGGTCCCACTTCTGTTCATTAATTTCGAGTTGAGTAGCTGATCCCATGATTCCCTGAGCCTGAGATATTAGTCTGAGATCCCTACTGCCAGGGACATCCACTCTGTGCCTTGGAGCTGACTTAAACCTTCGGGATGGGTGTTCACTATAAAAGGAAAAACAAAGCAAAGCGGGCAGATGATGTTAATCCTCTGAGAGCAGGAGCTGATCTACTTGTGAGAGAACTTAGTGACAATCCCTGGCAGGGAACGCTGAGACCAAGACAAAAAGAGAGATGGATGTTTGTGAAAAATAAAAAGGGCAGGAATGCTGGGCCCTGAGCTGTATTTCCCACTCCTGACCCAAGAGGCACATTCCTAAGGGACAGTGTAGCCAATCCTGGCTCATCTGTCTGGATGGAAAGGAAGGCTAGGATGAACACAGCGTTTCAGCAAGGTATGCACAGCTGCTGGCAAGAAAGATGAATTCACACTAAATTAAGCTCAATTACGGGAATTTTTGTTCTTTTCCCAAGGTGTGGGGTGAGGGCTGACATGCATCCCCTGGAGATTTGGAACTCCTCCAGATTCTACTACAGATTCCATGTTGTTCTCGTAAGCTGGGCGTTTAAAGAGTAGGAAAATAGCAATCAGATGATGGCATCCTGAGATGGACCAGAACGGGGCTTTAAAAGGCCGGCACTCCTGCCAAAGGGCCCGGTCACAGAAAGGAAGAGACGAGGATCCAAGAGGAAGAGCTGGCTCTCTTTAAAGGCCCTTCATTTGATTTCAGATTTCATTTCTCAGAAAAATACAAATTAATTTGGAAATTGAACCTGGCGTCTGCTCTGGGACAGAGGAATTGAATGACATACTCTTAGGGTAGGCTTGTTACGGGCTGCTTCTGTGCTCTCCTGGGAGGCCATTCTGAGCAGCATCTGGTGGCAGGAGTCCCCAGGGGGGTGGCCTTCAAGGGAAGATGGTACCAGGTGCGGTGGGGAGGGGAATTTGTGGGGCACAAATGCTGGCCCCGACCCTCTGGGATGATGCTGTTTTCAGGTGTGGATGTTTCTACAGCTTGACTTATCAGCTGAACCGCAAATATACTTTTTCCAAACATAGAATGTTTCATCCTCTCTCATGTTCCTTCAAACAGGTGTTTCTATTTAATTTGCTAAGAACTTTACAGTTTGAATCCCGTGCAATTCTTTGGGACAGGGACAGTTCAATAATTCAGCAGAAGGTGGATATACACAGAAGAGCGTCCTCTGTTTAGTCCCGTCACCAAATAGCACGTTTCTGACAACTCGTCTTGGGCCTATAAAGACAATTTTGGATGTAAAATCTTGTCTGCATCACCTTCTGATCAAAGAAGCTCTGAGGGGACAATTCGCACCAGTTTTAAAGGAAGGAATCGAAGAAGCTGATACATGGGATGTTCCTTGAACTTTGGAATATTTGGGCTCTTACTCTTAAACAGGGATAGGACATCAATTCCATTTTTCTCTCCTTCATGTCTCTTTAAAAGCCTACTGTCACTACTACTAATGAGTAGTGACTTTTCTCATCTCTAAAAGTCAGCATGCAATGGGCACACCTTCACCTGCTCTGAGAGAATGTCTAAAGTATACAGAGCGCTTCAGAATAAAAAACACAGAATGAAAGATAACAAAGACAAGAAAGTCAAAGGGAAAAAGAAAGAAAAGATGATGAAGCTCCTGTAAGCAGATGGTGAACCCAGTGTCCCGGAGAACAAGGACTTCCCACAAGACCCTCTAAGCCCTTCAACAGGAAGGCCAGGCCTCCTTTCCATGGTTACCAGTTAGAACCTCACATCCACTGTCTTGGAAACCATTCGTCCAGACACCCCACTTTGTCCAGACACTCGACTTCACTCGGAAAGAAGCAAGTCCAGAGAAACACTGGCTCCACCCTTCTTGGTCCAAGCATGGCTGAGCCATCCCTGCTCCCCATGCCCTGGGGCCCAGCAGCTTGAGGGCAGACCTCAAAAATAGGTTTTGGGAGGTCTCCAAAATTATGACACATTCCCCCGAAAACTATGAAAGATATATAAAAGAGGACACACATCCTCTCCCTGCCAAAAGGGGCCATTGCTTCTGAAGCCTGTTAAACACCTTCAAATGACCCATTTGTACCACCTGAGAGAGAAAAAAACATCAAGATGAGTCCCAACTGTTTTGGACACTCGGCACAGCATCCATCACGGATGGCGCTAGGATGAGAGGATGCTGGCCTGAGCAGCTGGGAAGGACGGGTGCTTCAGGAAAGTGGCTTCACATCAGGTTCATTTCCCCTGGTTGACAGGCTCCATTTTCAGCCTCAGGCTCATTTACAACCAGCACCTGGCGAGCAGTGGGCATCTCTCTGTGCCACGCTTCTGTGGTGGGGAGGGGGCTCAGTTCCCAGCCTCCTGTGTCAACACTAATCCTTCTCAAGGGAAAGATCAGAAACAGCACAACCTCAGGATTGTGTACGCCATCAATGAGAGCGCTCTCAGAGCCTCCCGTCAGCAGCATCGTAGTCCCGGGGGCATGACTAGCTCTTGTATCTTCATCTAAAATTGTTATTGGTGTGTGTCTGATGAGCATCTTTCCCTGAGGCCTTCCCAGCCCTTGAACAACTTGCATCTAAAAATACAGAATGTGCGTATCCTCTTTGAACCTACCATGGATAATTTGGAAATCTCTATCTCTCGATGAGTATCTTTAGAAGAGGAGAGATTTACAGGGCAGTGTAGAACATTTATTGATGCTGCACAAAAGGTCTTTATCACCTGTATGCAAATCCGTTATCAGCCTTAAAACACGGTCAGCAAGTCTCACTGTTATTTTTCTCACGTCCCTTCAACAGATGCAGAGAAAAGGGTTTGCAGGTTTCTCTGGATATCAAAGGGAAAGGGAGAGAGGAAAGGAAGCACCAGTGCGATTCTACACTAAGAGAAATTTTTTAAAAAGATCCTATGGTTTGTTCTGCTAAATTATTGACGGTTCCCTGGCCAGAGCAGTGAGGTAGAAGGCTGGAGCAGATCAACGTCTATACAGACAGGGCAGACCAAGGAACGGATGTGCAAACAGTAGATGCTATCGCTGCCAGCTGTGACTCATTTAATTGTCTGCAAGTCACTGCATTCAGAGAAAAAATAAAACAAAAAGGAAAAAGGAGGGCGTTGACCTCTCCTGCTCTTCCCAGGTTGTGGCACGCAGCCATGGAAGGGGAATCCGAGCCCTTTCCGCGCGGTCAGCCCCGGAGCTCGGAGCTCGGCAGGGGAGGGGCCTCCCAGCAGCCCGGGGAGGGGCGGGTCCTTCCTCCTCGCTGCCTACCTCTCTGCTCACCCTTCGACTCCAAATCAAGGGAGGGGCTCTGTTGCCGGTGGTTTTGTCACTCACCTTTCATACCACTACCTTCTTCTTGGAATGTGTTACGAGCAGTGGTCTGATCTTCTAAGTGTTCACTCCCACCACTTCCTGAAGAGGCTACACTGCTTTGTGGAGACAGGGGGGCATGATCGGATGGGAGGCACTGGGGTCCTCTAGCTCGTAAGTCCTCATGAGACATCCATCCATGTCCTAGAGGCTGGTTTGGCACATTCATGGGTGGGGTAAGGGACACAGATCGTTTCAAAGGGCTGTGGTGTGCCTGGCCTGAGAGAACTGGAAAAAAAAAAATAAAATGAAATAGGTTATTCCCCCCCTTTAGCCTGGGCCACAGAAGAACCCACAGTACCTCTTAACCCTGAGAGATGGCGCTGTCTGATCGCTGCATCCGGGGTCATGGGGTGGCTCTTCCCTTTGGGGTGGTTAAAAAGGATGCTGTCTGTACCTGTGGGTGAGTTGGGCTCTCTAAGGAGGCTACACCTATAAGGCCCACACCTGTGACCTTCACCTCTGTAGGTCGGGATCTGTTTTCAGTTCTAACTGTAGAAATCAGGATTCGGAGCAGTAGACCCCCAAATCAGGTGAGGATTGACAGCCTGCCTGGCTAAGTAGTGATCTGCCATGATGGAAACAAACATGTCCTGGCCAGTTTTTTTTGGTGGGGCGGGGAGGGGGGAACCACACAAAACCGGACATGACCCATGTCATTAGGGTGGACTTTCTGGAAGGGGAGGGCAGACCACTCATGGTTGGCAATCTTGGCTGGGCTGAACTAGCAGAAGTGGACTAGTTCTTCCAACCAGGAATCAGGGGAACTGTCACCTCTGAAAGGGGTACAGGCGCAAAAAGGGGCCTGAGACGAACAGGGACCTCAGGGTATGGGGCACTGCAGCTGCGTGTGAAAGGGCCGATTCTCTCCCTTGGCTTTGCAGGTTAATGCCAGACTTTACATGAGAACACTTCCAGGTAACAAGGCTTTCATTCAGAAGCCAGTGGGGTGCTCTCTGTAAGCCGGGAACAGTTTTCTCCAGCATGTGCAGCCCTTCCGCACAGCAGGCAACATCTGTGTAGCCCCCATTTTTAATTTCTTTTCCAGAAAACCAGGAAAAAGCAACAAAACTCACATATAACTAGCCAAATTAAATTGAGGTCATTCAAGGGAGGGATTTAACCAAAATCAACGCCGAGGGAGCCGACGTTACCCTTGGTTGGTTTTTCTGGGCGTGTAAAGTGACAGCTTTACAAAATAAGTCTATTCATAACTTTCTCTCTGTGCTGGCCCCTGACAGGTCCAGTTTATTTTGACTGCTGCAGTGCTAACATGGAATCGAGCCACATGCGTTTTTAAACATTTTTCAGGAAAGCCATTAAGTTCCATGTAGGGCTCTATCCCCTCCAATGAGGTATGATATTTACTCTCCCAAGTCCGGACTAGCACTGCTTTGCTGGCATTAATCCTTCTGGTGTTTTTTAGCCAGCAGACTTGCCATCCCAGTGTGAGAAGTTCTGCTTTCTGTTAAACTGCATTTCTGGTGGGGCAGCATCCACATAAAGACGTGAACAGCAGGCTCTCTTGCCCCCACTTAAAAACATAAAGACCAGAGCCAAAAGTGTTTGCAAAAAGTGTGTTTGAGACAGTAGTGGTATGGGGAGGCCGCTCATGGTCAGTTGGCATTAACCAGGCCCAGGAGCAATGGAGTTCACACCCCTGCTGTCCATATTTCTGTTTGGCTTCATGCGGCCAGAAGCGCAGCTTTCTGTGTGAAAGAAGGACAATCAGAAGGGCCAGAAACTTCTTTATGAACAAAAAAGGGAGGAAAAAAAGGGAGCTGCCAACTTTACTATCTGTAACCTGAGAAATTTCTAATTTGGGTAGATTCTATCAAAGGCAAGGGATTATCAATAACTTCAAATATGCAAAGGAACATTTTTTACTTTTTGGATTCTAACAGGCTGAAACAGCTTGCATTTCCGCTAAATAGACTAAGGAAGAAGCTCTTTTAAAAGGCTCCCTGCAAAATGCATTGCTACCTGGTTGGATCTGAATTAGCAAGAGAAAAAGAAAAAAAAAAGCAGAAAAAGAAAAAACAAAAAAATAAAAAGGAAGCAGCAGCAAAAATGAAGAGAGAAGCCAACAGGAAGAAAAGCCAGACATCCAGAAAATTCATTTCATGCCTGTCTAAGTATTTATACAAAATTGGGTGGACTTGTTCAGGGCTGCCCCAAGTGATGGGACTTTCCAGCTTAGAGTCTTTGCTTCCTGGTACCTCTGCAACCATTTCAGAATACCTGCTGGGTGCTCTGAATGGCGCTAGCCAGGTGGGCCCAGAGTGGAAAGGCCGGGGGCGGGGCAGGGGGGCCCTCCTCTTCACAGCTAGGATTAGAGTGAGCCCCAAACCATAAAAGCAGGCCTTTCCCAGAGAGACACACACCCAGAGCTGATGGAACCCTTAGCACCCTACCTGTTTACAGGCAATAACTGAATCCATCACCATGAGTGTAATAACACTGCTAAGAGAGCCCCCATCCTTGGATGCAGAGAACAATAGCACACACAGGTAGCAGTTGAATTCCAGTATTAGATGAAGCCAATTTGTTTCTTTCCATCAAAAGTTTTCTTAAAATTCATGTTAGCTCCCCACTGGCAAGCATCCTTGCAGAGGCTGTCAGTGTCCAAGGAATCCACTAGATGTTTACCTAACTTGCTGGGACTTATAGGGATTCATTCATATAAACCTAGACCCATTTCTTCATATGCCCCTGGCTTGACTGAGGTCACAGGGGATATGGCATGAATTTGGTCTCTGTCTCTTGGGCTTCTCTTGTGGCTCAGCTGGTAAAGAATCCGCCCACAATGTGGGAGACCTGGGTTCGATCTCTGGGTTGGGAAGATCCCCTGGAGAAGGAAAAGGCTACCCACTCCAGTATTCTGGCCTGAAGAATTCCAGGGACTGTAAACTTCATGGGCTTGCAAAGAGTCGGACACGACTGAGCAACTTTCACTCTAATAAAAATCAGTTATACCTGAGGTACCAGGGCTTTTTCCCAGGGACTCTCTACCTAAGGCATCACTGGGTGTGTATCAGAAAGACTTCTACAGTTGGCATCAAAGTCAGAAATGTCCCCTTAGGAGTGAACCTGCTGTAGCAACAAGCAAAATGTCTCCCACTAAGCTTCTGCTTTGCAGAGAGGGCCATGGATTTACAGTCAGGGTGACATACCCTGACATGAAAGCCAAGTTGTGCATGGCAAATGCCTCATTTCTCCAAAGGGGACTGAGGCCTTTGGGAAGGAGGCTGGAGCAGGTGACAGGTGACCTGCCCACGGGGCCGCTTTGGGGTGAAGACAGATCTTTCGGTGGAGCTAATAGTGATCACAAAGCCAAATTTTGTGTTACTTCATGTGCTGGGGGACTTTGTTCGCCATAAATTAGCAGAGGAAAGAATAAATGCTGTGGACAGAGAGAGTGTAAGACCACAGACTGCACAGCGGTGGATGAATGAGGTGGCCAAGAGCAGAGGGTGCATGGCTGTCCTGTCGTTCCATTTTCTTTTCAACCAAAAGTATTCATCTGAAGTGGTGTCACATAGAGGAAGAATGGATATTCAGGTGAAAATAAATGAATAAAAAGTCCTTTTCCTACAAGTAGAGAGGGGAGAGCAGGGAAGGCAGGCTTCTGAGAAGCTTTTCACACTGTGGTAGTCTCCCCAGAATAACTCTAGCTGGAGGCGGGCCTTCTGAACGTTCTCAGCGGCTGACTGCTGCGTGGCAGACAACAGCACACGCTCCATTCAGACTTAAGCTGCCCCAGAGTAATATTCAAATGCTGCAGAATTAAGCACAATTTGAAAAAAAAAACAAAACACCTCACTTTAGATTAGAAGTTGGCAAGTTCCAGCAGAATTGAGGTCTTGAATTTGTGACTTCATAATAATGAGGGTTGAGGGGACAGCATGTTTCAGGGGGAGAAGATTCATTCTAATAACTGCCCAGGAGGGCAACACTGTAACCCTTGCTCTTGAGAAAACTGAAGCCAAGACTTAATCATGAGTATAGAGTCAATATCCCTTATATTTTTAGGAATCGCTACAAGAAATTTCAGGTATGTACACTTATATATGGGGCTTCCCTGGTGGCTCAGCTGGTAAAGAATCCACCTGCAATGCAGGAGACCCCAGTTCGATTTCTAGGTGGGGGAGATCCCCTGGAGGAGGGATAGGCTACCCAGTCCAGTATTCATGGGCTTCCTTGGTGGTGCAGATATCTGCCTGCAATGTGGGAGACCTGGGTTCAATCCCTAGGCTGGGAAGATTCGCCTAGAGGAAGGCATGGCAACCCACTCCAGTATTATTGCCTGGAGAATCCCCATGGACAGGGGAGCCTGGCGGGTTACAGTCCATGGGGTGACAAAGGTTCTGACATGACTGAGCGACTAAGCACAGCACAGCACACTTACATATGTACATACATATGTATGAGTACATACGACAATAGGGTACTGTAGTATTTGGAACATTTATAAATTCAAGTGAACTAAAAATAAATAACAAATACTGAGCAAGTCCAGCTGAAATATGGGAAAAGCAGCTAAAAATAATCTTGCTCCAGCAGTGCAGCAGCATGATGTGAGTACAGAGGGTCTTATAATCTGGTAATAAACTCTGTCATACTGTTCGGGGCCAGCTGCCGTCTGCGACCTCCTCTAACCTTATGATGTCTTTTTCATCTCTAAGCATCTTTCATGAGACTCCTTTCAACACTTTTTGAGGGGAAAATACGATACCTGGCGCTGGGTTGTGTTCTTTTAAGTATTTTCTTGAAAGCCTGGAAATCTGATTTCTTCCCCCTTTCCTCTGACCAAAATTGACTTTGCCTTGATTTTTAGTTATTGAAATAAGAGGCAGGAAAAGACTTTTCAGGATAGTTAGACTCTTAAAAAAACAGCTGTAACTACCTCTTTTGCCTTCTAATGTGACAAGTAATGGGGCTGTGCAAAGAGGAAGGTTGGGGGTATGGGTCCAGCTATCTCCTCAGTTCACTGTCAGGTTAAGAACTGCACCTCACTGTCAAGGAGAGAAGTGATCCCCATAAACAAACAGTCCAGACGACTGAAGCTTAATTTTTAACACTGAAACTTTATCCTAATAAACGGCAATGGAGATCGTTCAAAGATACATTGCATTCTTCTCTGTTCTCCTTAAATTTATACACTGAATGCAAGTAATGCTTTAAAATTATTATGAGCATAGGTTAATAACATTTCAGAGCTGGAAGAC